GTTATAGGGAAAATGTGGAGCCTGGCTGACATGACCAACAAGACTTGTAACCTACCTGTCTTTTCACAGAGGAATGCTCCCTTAGACCTTTCCTCCAGCAGCAGAATCCTCCCTGCACCACAGATAGTAACCGTGTCTGTGTTGTACTGAACACACTAACGAAAGGGGTCGTCTGCTAGAAGTAAAGGTCAAGAGAAGTTCCAGGGTAGGTCTTTGGAGAAGAAACTCCCGGGACTTGGGGTGCAAAATTAATTAAAACAAACAAAACAAAACCCCGGGAGGCTTCAGTCAGGTGTGTCTTGGGCCAGTTATACACATTTTCATTCAGGGTTGTTTTCAAAACACTGAACAATGATCTCTTTATTCCTGCTAGTAGCTGAAGGGTCAGCTCTATTATCCCCCATAGTTATTATCTTCCATAAGATAGAAACTAAAGGGCAAAGGGAATTATCCTATGAAACAATTCAATGTGCACGTGATTTCAACTTCTCCACTCTTCAAAGGTCATTTTCTCAGGGGCAGAAATCATGGTGTGTATAGATTTTTTCTTTCATTCTGGGCCAGGCCTATTGCAGATCCTTGATAAATATTATACATGTGGATGATGCTATTACGCAAGGAAGATGTAGTCTTGAGCCTCAGACAACTCCCATTGAGGATCAAGGAAGTGAAGGCTTTCCTCCCACACACCCTCTCACTGCTCTGGGTCAAGAGGGATGCATCGGACTGGCCCCTACAGCGACTATGCCATGTCTCCTGGCAATGTCCTTTCGTTAAGAAGGCTCTCTGTCCCTCAACTCAACAAGCCTGTCACCCTCGTGGGAATTCTTTGCAGGAGACCCATGCGATGGAAGTCCACAAGCATCTCAGAGGACGGAGGTCAATGGAAGTAGCCAGAAGATCCCAAACATTAGCTCACATGCTCAGGCTTACTCTCATGGAAGAACCCTCTCGTCTGAAGTCAGGAACAGTTGTCCAAGGAGCTGCTGGTCCAGCCAGTCATGCACAACCACAATCAGTCCTAAATGTTTTACTTAAGGATTTACATTCAACTCAGGGGCTCAAGTAGCCAGATAACAATGTTTACAACAATGTTTACAAATGACATGAGTTCTGGAGAAAACAGGCAGCGTTTGTTTAAAGTCGAGGCTGCCCGCATCTCTGGCTCAAGTCAACAGTTAGGATGAGCGTGGGCCTATGGACAGGTCATAAACAGAGACCTCAGCTGAGGGGAAAAATATTTCTCTACCACGTCTTCTTTTCTAGAAGGACAATGGCAACATTCTAAATGTGATTCATTTCTGAAGAGCTTTGTATTTAAGGAGCCCAAATGAAATAAGTTCCCATTCTACAGGTAGAGAAAGCTAAGTCTGTAGTTCTCCATGAAGCCCGGGACTGTTCGGATACTGGGACCTGCTGGAAGGGAGTGTGTGGACCCACATTGGTCAGATGGTGGTCTTCAACCAGAATTGTAGTTAAGTCTCCTTACTGGATAGACCCTGAGCCTGCCTAGTTTATATTCATTTCAATGCCACAAGGCAAATAATATTTTTTAAAACTCATTACATTTTAAATACCAAAACTGAGATGCAAAATTTACAAAGAAAGCTATCTTCTAGTATAAATGTGTGACCACGCTCCGATACCTGCAGCCACCAACCTGGAGGTCTCTTATAGAGACGTAAGGAAAACCCTTGCTTCCTGGTCACTTCTTGGTGGTTCCCAGTTAAAGGGATTCCAGAGTAGTAACAACTTAATCTTCGTCTCCCTTCTGAGGGATAGGGGAAGAGATGGTCCACTGGCCCAGTTGCTGGCCCGACACCTAACAGGGCTGCAGAGTCAGGTCCTGGATTCGCTCCAAGTTTTGAATCCTTGCCAATCAAAGGCCCACAGGGCGGGAGGGGAAGGAGTGTATATTAAGCATTTGATGACTAATACATGCAACATATTTTTGGAAATATTGGTTTCGACCTACTTAGGAAGCTGATGTGTGGCGCAGACCAAGAGTGGGTGTTGAGACCTACACCTCCCTTACGTGGGAGTTTTCCCCTCACAGGGAGCTGCTGCTGGGTGGTTGTGAGAAACTCTGAGGCCTCAGTGTGAAGAGGTGATTTCAATTAGTTTTGGGTTCTTTCCTCACTTTTGTTTTTCTATTGTGCATATCATTATCAGCTGAGGATTCATCCAGACTTTTCCCTGGGCTTCCTTGAGGTGTGTGGGCCACAACACCTGGGTGGGTGGGTGAATAACCTTCCCACTCTGGGCAGCTGAGGGGTGCCAGTGTCCTCTCTCCCCTGGAGACCCCAGAGGACCCAACTGCTTCTTTCTGGCCCTTCTTCTGCCCCACTTCTGTTGCGAACTCACCCTCTGATCCATATGCCATCTTCTCTCTAGTTTTCAGGATAATCTTAGCCCCAATCAGTTCTTAATGAGGAGGTGAAGAGAAGCTGCTATGTTCACATTGTCTCCAGAGACTACTCCCATTTCTTTCCTTTGCTCTCCCCTCTCTTATCCCTCCTCTACGGAGCTCCTGTGGTGGGCAGAACAACGCCTGCCCCCACAGACGGCCACCTCCTAATCCCAAGAGCCTGTGGATCTGTCACCTTACAGGGCAAAAGGGACTTGGCAGATGTGACTAAGTTAAGGATCTTCAGATGAGGAAATGATTGTAGATTACCCAACTGGGTCCAACGTAATTACCAAGTGGGCGGCAGGAAGGCCAGAGCCACAGAGAGAGATGTGATGATGGAAGCAGAAATGGGAGAGTGAGAGAGAGACAGAGACAAACAGAAAGAGAGAGGGGCGCCTGGGTGGCTCAGTCGGTTGGGCATCTGCTTTCAGCTCAGGTCATGATCCCGGAGTCTCGGGATCCAGCCGCACATCAGGCTCTCTGCTCGGTGTGGAGTCTATTTCTCCCTCTTACCCCATTCGTGCTCTCCCTCAAATAATAAAAATGGATAAAATCTTAAAAGAGAGAGAGGGAGAGACAGAGAGAGACAAAGAGATTGACAAACAGAGAGACAAAGAGAGACACAGAAAGAGAAAGACAGAGATAGACAGGCAGAGAGACTGGAAAATGGTCCTCTGCTGGCTTTGAAGATGGGGAATGGGGCCACAAGCCAGGGAAGGCAGGTGGCCTCCAGAAGCTAGGCAAGGCAAGGAAGGGGATTCTCTCCTAGAACCAGAGGGAATCAGCCCTCCCAACTCCTTGATGTCAGTCCAGTGCACCCCATGTTGGACTTCTAACCCTCTGAACTGTAAGATAACACATTTGTGTGGTTTGAAGCCCCTGAGTAGCAATCATTTGCTACAGCAGCAATAGGAAACTCATACAGCCCCAATAACAAAGGTAGAGGGTGCAAATGTTGGGAGCAGGGAATGTGATGGGTGGAGGGAGCTCTACCAGGGCCTATATCCTCCACCACTCCTCGCCTCCCCTAGCCAGTGCGGCCCTGGCCTTGGCCCTGGCTCTGCACCAGCAACTGTCAGCATCTGCCTCTCTCTGACCTGCCCCAGACCTACTTCCCTGCAGACAGCGCCTCTCCTCCCGCTGGGCCAAACTTCCAACGAAGGTCACGAACAGCCTCCCTCACCCCCTTCTCCTCTGGCCAAATCTCCTTCTGGGCAATGAGAAGAGGGGTACCCTAGTTTAGATGTCAACAACAGAGGGTCAGAGGCAACCCACAAACCTGGGTTAGATGCCTTTCATTCAACATCCTGGGGGCGAAAAGCAAGTTCACAGATATAATTAGCATGGAAAACAAGCGCTAAGCATTACGGCCCTGGATGCAAATGTCCATGTCAGAGAATCTGCCTGTCCCAAAAAACAAAGACTCAGATTCACAACCTAAGGTATGTGACCTTTAGAAAAAACACCTGCACCTACCTCTTGCCCTTGTCATGACAGGAACCAAAGTAAACACTAGCTTCCACATTTCCTCTTATGAGTAATTGTGGTATTATTGTTCACCCTCTCTTAAGCACCTTAAATGTTCTAAGAGAGTGCCTCATGTGAAACAAGACTCAGGGCTGTCCTGAGGCCATCAACTGGGGGAATGCCCAGGAACATGACGATGTAAGTGGACAACCTAAGAGGCAGACAGGTGGAGTGGATGAGGCTGACCACCAGCGGAGGCGGTGACACCATCTCTCTGCCACCCGTGGGTACCTTGGCCAAAAACAGAAAGATCACTGGAAGACAACAGTTGCTACATTTCTCCATTGAAAACTTTGCTGACAATACCTCGCATCTCCTCCAAGAAGAGTTGGGCTTCATCAATTCCCATACAGAGGACATTTTAATAATCATGGATAAAATTGGGAGACATTTTTTTTTCCTGATGTGAAAAGATAAGCAATGCCTGCCAGGAAATCTTCTGGGGGCCATGAGCCCCAGAGAAAGACGCTCCTCAGATCTTTCCAGTATCTTTGACATTTCAGAACGCACACATATGAAAGAAGCCAGCCACAAAAGGACAGATATGGTATGATTCCTCTTCTATTAGGTCCCTAGAGCAATTCATAGAGGCAGAAAGTAGCATGGTGGTTACCAGGGGCCAGACAGGAGGAAATGGCGAGTTTTGGTCTAATAGGTATGGTTTTCAATTCTGGAAGATGAAGAAAGTTCTAGAGAAAGGATGGTGGTGACGGCCACACAACAGTGTGAGTGTACTTAATGCCGCTCAACTCTACTCTTAAAACTTGCTGAAGTGGCACATTTTATGTTACGTGAGTGTTACCACCACAAAATAAACCCCTTACCCCCCACACCTACACACCGCAATTCTATGACATCCTGTGTTCTCACACCGAACCATAGCGATAAACACCTAAAAGGTTTCCCTTGGGCGATTGCTTTCACGCGCTGCAAAGAAGGCAGAGGAGAGGCGTGTCGTGGAGCACCCAGCCCCCGAGGACAGCACTGCCCCTGGGAGGCAGGCGAGCCCAGCTGCCCCTGAGAGGACAGGGCTGCCCGGGCTTGGCCCACGAGGAGGCGCTACCTTGTCTGAAAGTGCTGCTCCAGATCACAGCGCTGCAGGACCTCGGTGCAGTAGTCCGAGAACGGGCAGGTCACCAGCAGCTTGTCGAGGAGCTTGTTGACCAGAATGCTGGACCTCTTGCAATGCTGCAGCATCACCAGCTTGCGGTCCACAGGGCAGAAGTCCTTCTCCACCAGGAAGCTGGTGAGGCACAGGGTACAGTACGTATGTCCACAGGGAGTGTCCAGAGGCTCCAGCAAAGCTTGCAGGCAGATGTGGCATATGAGGTCATCATCCACATCTTCGGTGTAGGTGTAGAAGTGGTTCTCCTCGGGGGAGTGGGCTTGGCCACATACCACACACGGGGGAGCAGGGCTGGGATCAGGGTGACAGGCGGGGTCTGGCTGGCTCATGGTCAACGGGGGAGATGGTCTGACAGGAAATTGGCCCAGGAAAACGGGATGTCCTCAGGAGTAAATCAAGATCTTCTAGGAGCCATCCACAGACCTGAAAGAGAATAAGACAGCTCATCTTTGTTTTCACGGCCACCTAAAGACTCCACTTTCAATGAACTTGAGACTCTGCCACCAGTGGGCAGGGAACCGAGCTGTGATTCAGAAGGCCAGGGCTCGCTGCCCACTCTGGTGACTGACATGACCTTGGGCAAAGGACCTTGCCTCCTTATTCCTCGGTTTACCATCCATCCTAGTGGCAATAATATTTACCTTTAATATCCTCACGTTGGGGTGGGAAAAACCATTGGGTACTATCTGGGAAATGCCTAGAGGAACTCAGAAGAAATATGCCCTAAGAAACACAAATTGTATTAATTTAATAAAATGAATTAATAAAATTCAATTAGACCAGTGATTTATAAAATGCTCTGTCAGGGAGTGCCTGGGTGGCTCAGTCGGTTAAGCGTCTGCCTTCAGCTCACATCATGATCCCAGGGTCCTGGGATCAAGCCCCACATCAGGCTCTCTGCTCAGTGGGGAGTCTGCTTCTCCCTCTCCCTCTGCCTGCCCTCCCCTTGCTTGTGCTCTCTATCTCTTTCTCCCTCTCTCATTCTGTCAAATAAATAACTAAATCTTAAAAAAAAATAAAATGCTCTGTCAGATCAGGACAAGAAGAAAAACAGTTAACCCTCTAATGGCTTTCTCTTATCTTTCTCCCCAGCTTTCTCTAAAACTCAGAAAATGTAGGACATCAGAGCCTTTGACTAAATCATCTGAGAAGAAATGAGAGCTGCTGAGTCTGTTGTATTTTTACTGTGGTGAGAGAACGTTTTCGTCCGTATGCACGTCATCCACTCAGTCAGTCACTTAGTGGTCACGTGGGCTCTGGGGCTGCACTGCCTGGGTTCGAATGCCACCGCCGCTGTGGGCCAGTGATTGGATCCATATCTGTAAAAGGAGAATAACAATAGCCTACCTCCTAGGATTGCTGTGAGGATGAGATGATATATGAGACATAAAGCTCTTACAGTTGTACCCGGAATACAGTAAGTGCTCAGTCAATATCAGCTACTATCTTTACATGTGTTTGTACCGAATTCATTTGGTCTGCCGTCTAGCTCAATCAACCTAGAAACTGAAAGCTATAGTTCCTATAAGGGGTCTTTTGGCTTTGTTTTAATAGTGCTCTTTTGTTTAATTATATATATATTTCAAACGAGTGGAATACTATAGGAGTCCAAATAATGGAGGTTTTAACATTCCTGATTAATACCTGGAAGCATCTTGGAATCATTCAATAGATATGTTTTGAGTACCAGCTCTGAGCTGGGTAGTAAGCTGGGTGTGAAGGAGACCTTCAGGAGAGCTCTCAAGGACATGCCCTTGCTCTCCTGGAGTCCCCAGTCCAGGGGAGGCAGGCGCGAGCACAGGTAACTGGCAAGCCCGCGTGACAAGCGCAAACAGAAGCGTGCGCTAGGTGCACGCTTAAGAATCCTGCACCCTCCCTCACCCACCGCCCCCTCGACTTTCTTCAATTTGGAAAGTAAATGAAAAGACTTTAGGCATTCCACAAAAACATAAAGACACACGGAGAAACTAGCAGGAACCCTGCTGCATTTGGAAATGGCACGGCATTCCTAAACCACGTTCCATCCTTTTTCTTTACCAAATGAAGTCCAAGGTTGTTTGTAGGAGCATAGCCTTATCTCAAAAAGAAAATACATTGACTTCAAGCTCTCTCTGGGTCAGCTTCATGTTTACATTTCCGGACTGCGCTCATACGCCTGAAAGAACACTCTGGTCAAGAGGTTGAAGTAAAATGCCCCGAACGTGAAAACACTCAGAAATCATAACATTTTATTTAGCATCAAAAGAGACCACAGAAGGCTAAGGTAGAGAGTGCAGAAGGGGGTGAAGTTGTTTCTAGCCAAATTTCATGGAAACAGACACAGCTGCTATGTGTCCTCAAGGCTGATAGAAGGCACTGGAACCACACAGGAAATGCTTTAAGTGGCATGAAAAAAAAAAGTCAAAAAATCAACATGAAAACGGAAATGGGCCACCCAAAAGATGATCATCCACTACAGGGGAAAAAGTGCACATATTTTGAACTTTGACAAGAGTTTGGTCAAACACTCCCACGTGTCTGGGTCCTGTCCATTCTTTCTCATTGTGCTGTACTCGAAAGTGACAGGAATGCAGTTGTAGCTCTGGTCGTGCCACCGAAAAAACAACTTCACGTCTCTGGGCCCTGCCTGGAAACGTGAAATGGTGGAGCTGAACCAGACGTTTGGGTTTTCAGACTGTGTTCTGGAAAGTGGCAGATGCTTCAGTGTCTTCCAGGGGAGGGAAGATGGGAAGGCAGTTTGGGTAGAGCTGTGCCCACTTCTCCACCCTACCCAGTCCCAACTCCATTTTGATGTGTTTCTGACACGTCAGTTTCCTTATAATATTCTGTTGGAAGAAACCTCGCTTTAAAAAAATAAATAAAGGAAAAGAAAAAAAAGCAAGCCACTAGACTGATACTATAAAGTCCCTTTCAGAAACAGAGTTCTAGGATTCCGTGCTAACAAAGCAGAGGATTTTGCTTTGTTTTGGGTGGTCAGCTTCTGGGAAAACCTTCTTTTCTTTGCTTTCTAACAGTTTTTGAGCATTTACCATGTGCCCGGCACTGTCCTGGGGGCCTTCTATAGACTATGTTATTTAATCCATGCAAATCCCCAGGGTTGTTGGGTTTTGTTTGTTTTCTTTTAACAGATGAAGAACTAAAGTGTGACAGGGAAGTAACTTGCCAGTTTTCACCAAAAAAGAAACAAACCATAAAGTGGTGCTGACTCCGGGTTCTGTTCCTAACCATTTCGCTATGTTGTGTCCAGGCATCTTTCCTGATCAAGACTAGTCAGAATGGAACCAGCCGAATATAAGAGCCCCAAGAAATTAGGTTTAAAATCTCTTTAGGCCCATTGCTAATAGGCTTTTCCGAGGCTCTGTTTAAAAATATTCTTTCCCTTTACTGACCGCTAGAATGCCCAAGACCGAATGAATGGAATGGGGAATGGGCAAGCAAAAATGGTGGGTTCTAGCTCCAACCCCAATTCTTTTTTCTTTCCTTTTTTTGTTTTTCTAAGAGAAATTTGAATTCCCTGGCCCTTGTCCATGTGAGTAGACCAGATTCCTAACATAATATTAACGTAAACACTCCCATATATATTTTCCAACTTGCTTTAGACTAAATAAAGCCTAAATGAATAGACACAGATTATGAGAGAATTGCAACCCCCCCAAAAAAAGCAGTTTAGACTCTAAAGAAAGAACTAGGTAGACTTTAAAAAATATGATTAATATTATTTGAGGTTTCTTATTTCCAGTTTACGTCTCATAAACATGTATGATGTATCATGTTTTTAAGACATGTATGTGCCTTACTGAACTGATAAGAATTATCTAAAATCATTATGGCTTAAAGGTAAACTCTTTTTTCTTCTAAAAGCAAGTGAGAGGGCCCGTCAGCTTTGAGTCCATTCATGTCCCTCAGTGTGCCAGGCTTCAGGCCCCCTGGCCCTGGCTGAGGTAAGGCGACAGAGCTGCAATATGGCTTTCCTGCAGTTTGGAGAAAGAGAAGGGAAGTCGATTCCCTCCTGTGTGTGTATGGGGCACGGGCGTGAAAATCGTACACTTCCTTCATAGAAACCTATTGTGGTTTAGGAATGATCTTTTCTGTCTCTCCTGTGATTCGTGGTGCAACAGAAGCCCAAGGTGACTTTGAGAGGGACATGCAGCCCACCAATGTAGCGGTGAGAAGGGCCAGGAAAAATAGAAGTCTCCATCTGGGTCCTTAGTTCCTGCTTCCTTTCCCGCCAGTTTATGGTCACACCCAGAATTTGTACAGAAGTTCTTCTACCTAACTTTCAAATTCTAAGCTTCTCTGGCTGACAACAAAGCTACATTCCAGAGCAGACGTGAGTCAGCTCTGTCTGCGAGGTCCTTAGAGGTCATATGTATCCTGTCACCTGCACTAAAAATCCAAAAGTCTTAAGAACAAACATATTTTCACATCTTAAAGAAAAAAAAAAAAAGGAACAGCCTTTGGGATACAAACTGTTTGGAAGTGGGAAAATGTCTGCATGACATAACCGACCAGAACAATGGGGTCCCTGGTGTGCTCGTGTCCTGCTAATTCTCCTTTAAATGCACACTGGTTTTGCAGAAAATGGTTACCTGAGGATAAACCATATACTGCGCTGGAAAGACAATGGATAAACATGTCATTTGGCAGGCTGCACTGACAATTTCACATTTTCCTCCTCCTGAAAGGACAAGACTTGACTCCACAGCTCCTCTTGAATGGCTGCATGAGTCACAGTTTTAAAACGACAGTAATTGGACGGCATACTATTAAAAAGAATTCATCCTCATAGTCAATGGCAGTGTGTCCTGCATTGGGACTCTGACCTTGACAAAGATGAAACATTGAGCCATAGACTCTTTGTGTTGAAAGGGACCTTGAGGGAAGGTCCCTAAACGAAACAGCCCTTTACTACCTTCTAAAATAGATCATCCTGCATTGGAGAGCTCTAACTACTAGGAGAACAGTCTCTAGACAGAACAAAAATTTGCTTCTCTAGAACTCACCTACCCCCTCCATGGGTGCCAGTATTCTCCTAGGAGCTATTTAGAATAGGTCATAGTCCAAAAAAAAAAAAAAAAAAAAAAAAGAATATGTCAAATTCCCTAAGTCCTTTAATTATTGGAAGACACCCCATTTCCCACCCCTACCCCTCCAGGTCCAGCAGCCTTCGGCTATCTGGCATTCCTTCCAGCTTCCATATGCTCTGTGAGGCTGACCACTCTCCGCTGCAAGCTCCCCGATTCTTCGGTGTCCCTCCTACAGGGTGTGGGTAGAATGAACCCCAAAACTCCAGGACAGAGTGAAATGGACTAGAGCCTAGGATGGCGTCTGTTTTCTCAAGCCATTGCTATCACTGCGGTCCTGGCCTGCCCTGAGCCAGACACTGCCCTGAGGCCTGGGGAAAGCTCTTAGCAATTCCTGAG